TCCGGCGGGACTTCGAAATAGACCAATGGTGGGGGATATATGAAGCGCCTCTAAGGACTGGTTGTCTACTTTCCTTTTGCTGAGGGCGTCCATGTTGTGGCAAGCGTACTTGGTGTAAGCTCCACAAGGGTCCAAGGTGAAATTGGCGGCCACGATGAGCTGTGATGCCACGTCGGGACAGCAGTAGCTGGTGTCGTTTCTCGAGGCAGTCCCTTTTGTGTCGGTCATCACGACGAGAATCACTAAGGCGAGAGTCAGGCAAGCAAACGCCATTATCAGGCACGCTATCACGGTGACGCTCAAGATTCGACTGGTCTCGACGGTTCCAGGAGTAGCTGGCACTTTTCTGTTGGTTGAAACGTTCATAGTAAACTGGTCTGATTTGTAAGCTACGAAGAGAAAGCAGCAGCTGCAAGTTGCCATGAAAATCGAACCATAAGTTATCCATGGACACGTGACGCACGTGACGCGCGTGGAGCATATTCGCCGGGTCGTCTTCTGGTGGATTTTTGTCGAAACCCCAATAAACCTCTTGCAAGATTGAAGCGACCTTAGCGGCATAGTGTCGCGCAAAGCATCTTTCGAAATGGCCTCAGAGATTTTTCGTGCGCTGGCTGCTCTCCTCAGGTAATTGCATTCGCCGGTAGAGACTGTTACTGCGGAGCGCACGCGTGTATGTTTGTATGTATATTTTCGTCGCAATCTCTTTGTATCGAGTCTTGTGAACACGCAAATAAAAGAAGGGGATCGGTGGCCGAGTGGGCTAGCGCACACTTGAGCCACTGTATATTATAGGTGCCTTCATCTGCGCTTTGCTTAGGGTGGAGACATCTTGCCATTTTGTTCCTCACTTTTATTTTTCTTTTTTGTTCAGAAGCGCGTGAAAGGGCGTGTCCCTGCACGCGTGTGTGGCGCTGACTGTGCTACGGCGACCTTTTTTTTTCGTCAATTTCTTTGTATTTTCCCCGTGAGCGCGTGCTGTCGGCATCGGGTACTACAAAGGGTGGCATCACTCTAAACAGAAGGACATTGATGCACCCTACTGTATCGGCAGCCTAGCTGCCAGAGTAGCGACACGACGCAAAATTATCTAGATGCACTACGTCAGAAGCAGCTATAGCGATGGCCAGGGTGTCGAACCGAAATGTTTTTCGTTCCGGTTTTCGTCCCGGTTCAGGGAAAACGGTTCAGCTCCGGTTCCACTCCGGAGTGAAAAAATAAAGGTTCAAACCGGTTCGAACCGGTTCATACTCATATGCTACAAAATCATTTGACGGCAGCAAACGATAAACTATGCATATTTGATACAAGTGTTACATATAAAAAGCAAAGGCTCACATTACTGTGTGGAACGAACGCGCTAGTGCTGGGGCATATCGGGACGGTAGGTAAAAGCGCAGTTCAATGTCAGGCAACCGACCGAAGAAGCAGGACGTCGTCAAGCATATCCAGGGAAAGACGGCACCTTTGAGACGATAGATTGAACTTCAGTGCAGAAAAGGCTCGCTCCACGCTGACCTGGGTAGCAGGCACTCCCAGGGCTACTTGCTCCAATCCGCAGAGTTCTGGAAGGCGTTCCCGTCATTCCTTCCAAAACTGTAACACGTTGCGTGCCTTGAAAGCCGCGGCTCCTTGTCTAGCATTTCCAGGAGCTATGCTATATCAAGTGGTTCAGCTTAGTTAAACATATAAAATAACGCAAAAAAGACAAGAACAAGAAGTATGCAGGACAAGAGCTATTAAGTGGGCTACTGGTACCGCGAATGTGCACGCCAGCCTCAACCTTTCTTTCCTTGAGGAGCACTTCCGTCTTCCGGATCGTCTGAAGCCGCCGCAGTTTCAGAAGACAGGGTAGAATCTTGCTCGCATTGCAGAGCTGTGATCCGCGTCCAAGTCTTTGAGGAATGGTACGTGGCCCGGTACTTTAGCTCAGGGGTGAGACGAAGGCGATAGCGGGGATCCATGTACAGTGCAGCACAGAACACATCTGCGTCAAGATGTTGTCGCTCCCTCTTTTTCATTGACTGGACGAAGGCCTTTGCTAACGGCGAGGATATCTTGGAAGTGTCCATGGAATATGTCAGCCATGCTCCGTAGAAATCAGAGATCTGTTCCTTCTGCGATGTCTTCGTCGCCACTTCTGCAATCTAACCTTTTTTTATGTCAGTTTTTTTTTTCATTTGTACGCGTCATTGCGAGATTTTTTTGCACTCCGCGAATTAATTTTAATCCCATCGACACGATTGCATTCCTTGGTATGCACATTTATTTATCCAAAACATTCACAGTTTTACATTCATAGAGAGCAGTAACCTTTTTGAATTTTTCCTACATTGCGCTCGCGTATAATCAGGCTGGTCTTCAAATGGTAAAAAGTTGGGGAGAACTAATTCTTGAGAAAATGGCTTTTCTGATATTTTGACATAGCTACCCAGCTCTATACTAAATATTATTGCTCTATCTAATTTTCGTAATGAAAACAAAAAAAAATGAAGTCTTCATTTTCTATGAACATATGATGGTAAACGTCCGGCAGCCCTCTGCCTAGTTAGGACTTGACATGAAGCGAAAAATAGGGACTATAACCAAAAATAAACTTTTTGTATAGTGTCCCTGACATATATCGCTAGTATCCGGCGGCGCGCTCAGCTTTATACCGCGACTACGCGTATAAGACCTCTGGTGCGAAGTCCAACCGAAGACCGAGGCCCGCTCGGACGGATCAAGTTTCGTTCACGGAGACGGCTGTTACCGGGGCCTCAGCAGACTGTCTCAGCCTACGACGCAGCGGGCATCGCGCTGCGCCGTTCTTTTACTGTTTAAATAAACGCATTACCCTGAGTACGTAAAAGTCCCTATTTTTCGCTTCATGAACATTCAGTACAAATGCAGATATTTCATGTGCTTTTTTTCTCTCTCAACACTTCTTTCCCAAGTGAGCGTTACCGTGAGTGAGGATGTCTCGTCTGCAAAACTTTGTTCCTCAAAACTTTGTTGCCAGACCTTTGTGCAAGCCATCCGAACAACAGCGGTAACGCGTAGGACCAGTCACGGGACAACGGGAGGAAAAAACGTGGCCGAACCCGTGGTATCCTGTCCTAAATCCATTATTATGTGCGAGTTACGAAAATTATGGAAACAACACTCATTACTACAACCACTTCCACTCGAAATGTTCTCATTATATTATTTGATTACTGGACACGAAATATAATTGAACGTCGATCCAAAAAATACCATTAATTTTCATTTTCATGGGATACGAAGCCGCAGCTACCACCGGCAGCCATGAATGCATGAACAACAAAGGCAAGCCCTTCGACTCTACCGCTAAGAGGTCTAGGCCTCCCCCTAGAAGAAGAAGACCCCCGATCCCGAGACTGCCGGCAGATCATTACAAGATTGTCATTAGGCCACAGTCTGCCCTAGACCTTCCTGCACATGGCGGAGCGCTATTGCTCGAAGCGCTTCGCCTAGCCGCCAACATTACCGACGGCAACACCCATTCAGAAGATATTCTACAGAAACACCCGGTCAACCGTACTTTCACAATCAGCACGCCCAGTGAGAAACGTGCGAACGCGTACCTCAACCTACAAGAGTTCGTGATTGAAGGAAGGAAATGCCCCATCAAAGCGTACGCGCCTGCCCCCGATCTTTCGGTAAAAGGGCTGATCCACAACGAGTATTGTGGCGAAACAGACGAGCAGTTAGTCCAGAACTACAACTCCTACAACCCCGACTGGATCGTCACGTCGGCAAGACGTTACGGGAAAACTAACCACATCATGATTACGGTAGCCGGAACGGAGCTCCCCCGGCTCCTCAGATACCCCGGCACAAGACATAAAGTGGTCCTCCTTCTCAACCGAGTGGAGGCCTGCTTCAACTGCCGCAAGACAGGGCACAGACAAGACGTCTGCCCACAAAAAAGACGAAACCTCTGCTTCAGGTGTGGAGAAGAGCACCCACCACCACAGGAGGGACAACCAACAACCTGCGCCCCAGTCTGCATCATCTGCGCAAGGGCGCACAAAACTGGGAGCAGCAACTGCAAGTTCAGATTCGCCAAGCAGCAAGCCTCCCAGAGACCCAACCCGCTCAGCAACCCTGACCTAAAAATCGGGCAGAACTTTAAGCACCAGTCGAGGGACAGAAACCGGCAACACGAGACCCTGACCCGAGGTGACAAGAGGGAAGCATCATCGTCCTTCCCACCACTACTGCGAAGCAGAAGCAAGTCGGCGACACGGAGCAGCCAATCGAGGGACCGTCAAAAGGACCAACATCGATCGTCCAGCAAAAGGCGAGACCCCAAAAACCCCTGGACCAAGCCAGGAGAAAGGGCCATCAAGTGGCAGGAAGATCCGGAGAAGCAGGCCCTTCGTAATCAAGTGAGGGAGCAAGCCATTGTAATAGAACGAATGCAGTCCCAGATCAGTGTGCTAGGCAATAAAATCGCGAGTCTCACACAAACCCAACACCCCGGTGAAAGCGCAACAACCACTAACAACACGTGCCGCTCCCTCACCCCTTCCGAGGGTGCAGTTATGGAAGTAGAATCCACGAACGTTCTCAAAAGACAGGCCTCAAAAGATCAGCAAGATGCCCAGAATCCCAAGAGGCGAAACGAAACTGCCTCGGCGTCCCAAGCGGCGTCAACTTTCGCAGTCAAAGCTAAACTGGCTCTCGAACAGAAAGAGAGGCTCAACAAAGTAGAGGCCCGAGCAGATAGGCTAGAAGCGACATCCATGGACGTTGTCAAAAACCTGCAGCAGACCAAAGAAGAAATGATGGAGGCCATCAAGGCACTACAAGTCCAAGTGAGCACGATAGCGACCGCGGTTGCGCAGCTGACAGTGCCCCAACATGGCAGCCCATAACCACGAGATCAGTATCTGGCAATGGAACTGTAGGGGTTTTCAAGGAAAAAATCCAACCTGCAGCTTCATATTCAAAATTTAGAAGTCAAACCGGACATTATTACAATCCAAGAACCAATGGGGCCCGTTAGCCTAACAGGGTACAAAGCCATATCTCAAAAATATATACCACGCAAAACGGGAATGACTGCTACGCTGGTGAGCAACCAACTCACGGCTATACAACACGAATTCGACAATTCTGCGGCAGATTACACGCTAACAGAAATTATTCCCGCCAAGAAAGAGCAGATGAGCCTGTACGTCCTCAACGTGTACAGCTCCCCGAAAGATCAATCCAGAGAAGTCACGGCATTGCTAGAGTCGACCACGCAACTAGCCAAAAAGGGGCAACTAGTGATAACAGGCGACTTCAACGCGCCACACGTCGAATGGGGATACCACAAGTCGTTCAAGAAAGGAAACATCCTGTGGAACAAAATCCAAGAATTGGGACTCTCGCTACTAAACGATCCTCACACAGCGACCAGAACTGGCAACAGCATTAGTAGAGACACCACCCCGGACCTCACGCTAGCAAAGAATGTCAAGAACCCCGTCTGGCGGAACACCGGCGCGGATCTCAACAGTGATCATTACATCCTTGCCACTACCCTTCGCACGGAGAGTAGTAAGAAGAGTTGGAAACGAACTAAATTCACAGATTGGGATAAATTCAGGAAAGAAAGGAATCAAACGGCCCCGCCTGAAATTGAAGACATCGAAGAATGGGTCAAATCCATATGTAAAAGTGTAGATTCGCATACGAGCGAAATACCAACCGATGCCGAACACTGTAACCTCGATTCCAGATTGGCACAGATGTGGGAGGCAAGAAACAGTCTCCTGAAGAGATGGAAAAGACAAAGGCTCAACAAAAGGCTACGAAGTAGAATCGCCAAACTCGAAAGTGAAATCGAGCGACATGCGAGACAACTCACCCAGCAAGAATGGTATCAAACTTGTGACAGCCTAAACGGACAACTAGGGAATAAGAAGACGTGGCACCTGCTTCGCCACCTTCTCGACCCCACGCAGTCCAAGTCGGCTGCGCAAGGACAGCTCGCTGCGATCATCCATCAATACCCCGGGGACGGACAAGACTTCTTGGACCTCCTCCGGAAGAAATACCTGAACACCGCAGACGACGGAGAAACGAGCCCACAATATTCGGGGCGACCACACGTGCAGCTGGACGAGCCGTTCACTGACGCAGAAGTCTGAGCCGCGCTGGGCCAGCTTAGAACAACCTCAGCGGCAGGACCAGACCTAATTACAAATAAGGCCCTCCGTAATCTTGACATGAAATCTGTCACGGCACTCACAGATTACATCAACGTATGCTGGGAGGCCGGATTAATCCCCAGCAGTTGGAAACATGCCAAAGTGACATTCATTCCAAAACCTAACAAGAAATTCAACGTGGACAACCTAAGACCCATTTCCCTCACGTCCTGTCTCGGGAAGCTCATGGAGCACGTGGTACTCAATAGACTACGGGACTACACGGAAGACCACGACCTCATGCCATACTCCATGGTGGGCTTTAGAAGGGGACTCTCCACCCAAGACGTCATGCTACAGCTATCACGTGACATACTCGACCCCTCCATTAAAAGCACAAGAGCAATATTGGGACTCGACCTCAAAAAGGTTTTCGATAATGTATCACACAATACCATCCTGAAACACCTAGCCGACCTCAACCCAGGCGAACGGGCGTACAATTACGTTAAAGCCTTTCTAGAAAACAGAACGGTAGAGATCACCATCGGGCCACTGAAATCCAACCCAATCAGGCTCGGCAACAGAGGAACACCACAAGGGGCTGTTTTGTCGCCCTTCCTTTTCAACCTGGCTTTAATAAAGCTTCCAGAAAGGCTCAACGCCATTGAAAACATCCATCATACTCTGTATGCAGACGACGTTACCATCTGGACGAACCGCGGCTCGGAAGGACAAATAGAAGAAGCTCTCCAAGCAGCGGCTGACACCGTACAAGAGGAGGCACGGCGAGCCGGCCTCGAATGTTCCCAGCCCAAATCAGAACTCCTAGTCCTTAGACGGAGCAAAAAACCCGAAGACAAGATCCCAATTGACATAAAGATTCAAGGCCAAAACATCGAAGAAGTGGAGAACATACGTGTCTTAGGACTCCACATCTCCAACACCCCCAGCAACATTGCAGCCCTTGGGAGACTCGAGAGCTCAGTACACCAGGTAGCGCGCATGATCAGGCGCATCGCTAACAAAAGACGAGGTATGGAGGAGCACGACCTACACAAGCTCCTTCAAGCTTTCGTCATCACCAAAATCACATACGCCTTCCCGTACCTCCGACTCAAGAAGGCAGAAGAACAAAAAATTGACATTCTAATCCGACACGCATATAAAACGGCGTTGGGCCTACCTAAATTTACGGCCAACGAGAAACTGCTCGCCCTGGGAGTACACAACACCTTTTCTGAACTTAAAGAAGCACATCTAACCACACAGACGGCTCGACTCTCCAGCACACCACCGGGGAGAATGATTTTGGATAGACTGGGCATTGAAGGAGAACCTATGGCGGACCATCCAGGCCCCGTTCCAGGCTATATACGAAAAAAGATTAGAATAAAACCTTTACCAAAGAACATGAACCCGCAAACCCAACAGGGTCGACGAGAGGCAAGAGCCAGGGCTATGCATCGACACTTGCAGAGACTCCAGGACGTCATATACGTTGACGCAGCCAACTATCAAGACAGCCGCCAGCGGTTCGCCATCTGCGGGGTACCCCATCCCCGAGACTCTGACGCGGCCACCCCACTCATTGCCGCTACGGTATTCACCAAAAACGCGGAAACCGCGGAGGAAGCCGCAATTGCTGCGGCCATTGCCTTTACAGAAGCTACAACCATCGTGAGCGACTCTAAATACGCCATCACCGACTATGCCAATGGCCGAATCTCACTCACAGCCAGAAATATCCTAGAAAATGTTGCCGAGACATCCCCCCTCCGAGAAATTGACCTGGTATGGGTCCCGGCGCACGCCGGAAACCCCGGAAACGAGGCTGCCCACGCACAAGCTCGAGTTAGAGCCGGCCGAGCAGTGGACAGTCCGATTCCGGAGGCAACCGGTGAACCGCTTACCTCCTACCACGACCACACCACCCATTTCAAACTCCGACGAAGAAAATTCCCGCCGCCGCACCGCTCTCTCTCGAGGGAGCAGCAGGTAGCGTGGAGAAGACTTCAGACGGACTCCTTCCCCAACCCAAATGTATACTCGCACATATTTGCTCAAATCTCTAGCCCGAACTGCCGCTTCTGCGGTGAAAAAGCTACTTTAGATCATATGATCTGGGACTGCAAAGCGCACCCTCCACCCCCAGATCTCATGGCTGCTCCCTCACTCGACGCGTGGCTCTCAGTAAAGGCCAGCGACGACCCAGACACTCAAGTCAAGGCCGTCGAATGGGCCTATGCAGTCCGAGACCTACATGGTCTGGACATCGCATACTGACCACATCCTACTTCTCCTTTTAATAAAGTTTTCACTCACTCACTCATTTTCTCTTCGTGTAACGTGATTATTGCGGCTCGTCGTTTTATTTAGTGTGCCATTTTTAACAAACGTAATAGAGTGGCTCTCAGCACTAGTCTGAGTAAATACACGTAAATTTAAGAAATAATAGGTTCCGGCCATCCAGTTAAGTAAAATATGCAAATCATATTCGCTTAAACAGTCTCAAGGAAGGGTCATAAAACGAGTACGGCTTTGCTCTTGTTAGCCAGCTCGCGGAGGAATAAAATAAAATCCCCAAACTCGAAAAAAAGGATGCTCGTTGCAATTGAACATATTGCCACTTTTCTTTAACTCGTGCGTTTACGTTTTCTTAAAAACTTGAAACGTAGAAACTCTGACATAACTTAAACAAGAAAGAAAAACCAAGCAAGAAAGACAAGAGAAAATTCGCTAAAAGTTAAAATTAACCAATCCCAAACTTAACGTTGCTGATTTTAGCTTTCAGGTCATTTTATTAGTTAGATGCAGCATACAATTTCGGACGTTGAAACTCTCACATAACCTAAACAAGAAAGAAAAACCAAGCAAGAAAGACAAGAGAAAATTCGCTAAAAGTTAAAATTAACCAATCCCAAACTTAACGTTGCTGATTTTAGCTTTCAGGTCATTTTATTAGTTAGATGCAGCATACAATTTCGGACGTTGAAACTCTGACATAACCTAAACAAGAAAGAAAAACCAAGCAAGAAAGACAAGAGAAAATTCGCTAAAAGTTAAAATTAACCAATCCCAAACTTAACGTTGCAGATTTTAGCTTTCAGGTCATTTTATTAGTTAGATGCAGCATACAATTTCGGACGTTGAAACTCTGACATAACCTAAACAAGAAAGAAAAACCAAGCAAGAAAGACAAGAGAAAATTCGCTAAAAGTTAAAATTAACCAATCCCAAACTTAACGTTGCTGATTTTAGCTTTCAGGTCATTTTATTAGTTAGATGCAACATATATACAATTTCGGACGTTGAAACTCTGACATAACCTAAACAAGAAAGAAAAACCAAGCAAGAAAGACAAGAGAAAATTCGCTAAAAGCTAAAATTAACCAATCCCAAACTTAACGTTGCTGATTTTAGCTTTCAGGTCATTTTATTAGTTAGATGCAGCATACAATTTCGGACGTTGAAACTCTGACATAACCTAAACAAGATAGAAAAACCAAGCAAGGAAGACAAGAGAAAATTCGCTAAAAGTTAAAATTAACCAATCCCAAACTTAACGTTGCTGATTTTAGCTTTCAGGTCATTTTATTAGTTAGATGCAGCATACAATTTCGGACGTTGAAACTCTGACATAACCTAAACAAGAAAGAAAAACCAAGCAAGAAAGACAAGAGAAAATTCGCTAAAAGTTAAAATTAACCAATCCCAAACTTAACGTTGCTGATTTTAGCTTTCGGGTCATTTTATTAGTTAGATGCAGCATACAATTTCGGACGTTATGTATATAAACAACAGAATGACAAAGGTTCGCGAAAAAAAAATCTAGTCACACATACTGACAGTGACATTCCAACGTAGGTGCCCAAGTCGTTTGGGTAAGTCGCTGCGGAAACTGGAAGATGCTGGGCAGAGACGGATCGGTCGGAGGGTGCGGATGAGGGCGTCTGTTGAATGATCCACTTCTCAATGCTGGTACTCATATATTCCGATGGTGATGCATCCGTTGGCTCCAAATCGCGTTTTATATTTTTTTTAAGGGAAGTAGTAGGTAAGCACTGATTTGGCTGGCGCTTCAATGAGGCGGCCCTGGTGATATAGGTCATCGCGGACTCTTGAATTCGCACACCGATGGGTCTTAGCAATTAGTTGTTAGGCTTGCACTGTAGAATGGGCGCACAATGAGCAGCACCAGTAGAGCAGACTTGTACACGTTACTGAAAAAAAGTAACCGATTACAATTACAATTACTACAGTCAAAAAAGTAACCGATTACCGTTACTGATTACTGCCTCCCAGAAGTAATTGAACAATTACTGCAAAGTAATTGATTACTTTTCACGTTACTTTCACGTTACTTTTTATTGCGATGACAGAAATACACAACTGTAAAATCTTGCGTACACAATTTTGTTCGTTTATTGTTCCCTTTTTTGTTTTCAGAACTTATCAAGTTTTAGCAGGAGCTGCCTCTCAAAGTTTTCGTCAGTCATCTTTCCGCGTTTTCTTGTGAAGACGTCCGCCGCGACGCTGAAAACCCTCTCGACGGACGCACTTGACGATCCTAGTTTTATTTTTTTTAGATGTTAAAAAAAATGTCAATCATTTTTGCTACATGGCTGAGTGACTATGCTGATTTTTGTGAGAAAAAAAATTGTGGGATGAAAAATGTAATTGGTAATTGTGTAATTGATTTTGTAATTGATTACAGAAAAAAAGTAATTGAATTACTCCGAGCGTTACAGCTTGACAAATGTAATTGAAGCGTTACAAAATTACATTTAACTGTAATTGATTACAAGTAATCAATTACTTGTAACGCGTTACGTACAAGTCTGCAGTAGAGTAAATGCTCTAAGAAAGATGAAAATCGGCCGTTTTTTGTGTAGCTCGAAGCCCGGATGTCAATGATGATGTGAGGGGGTGGAGCACCGAATTCTATCGCTTCTGTGAAGTGCACGAAAAGTCGGCCTCTCGGAAAGGAAGAAATAAAT